TCGATAACGTCCCATTCGTTTAATCCAGTCCAGGCGCCGAAGAGCCGGCGTAGCCCGTCGTAAAAAACGTGCGCGCCTAGGAGAGGCTGCCCTGAACGCATCTTGTTATAAGGCTACTGCCGATGTGTCGCTCGCATTTTCCCAATATAATCGAAGTACACTTACCGTTGACGTGTTTCCTATTCTCAAACCAAACCCCGAGCTCACGGCCTGATTTTGATCGAAGACTCGCGTCAAAGTAACAGAAATAGGGAATTTTATCCAACTTATTCTTCGTAGTTGTTTTCTCCACTTCCTGATTGAGACGCTGCCATTTTGAACAGCGAAAAAATATTTCCGCCGTTGTCGTCACACACAGAGCCGCTCGTTCAGATCCCTCGAGGACTCTGCTTGTTGATCGAGAACAGAAAACAGAAGAGCACAGAAATAGTTAAGTGTTTGGCCCACCTGAGATAATGCGTCAAGTTAGACAAAATATATAAAGCGGTGACAAATGAGCGCTCAGCAGTTATAGCTAAGTTGATAAACAGCTGGCCAAGAAATAAATACGAATACCCTAAAAATAACAAGCAGCTCAGTTAAAGGTATGCAGATGCTGAAATTCAGATTGACTATCTGATAAATAAATAAAATATTTCATAGTTTTAAAAACAAGTGTAAGTCTACAATAAACCAATATAAAAAAAAATAAATAAATAATACCGACAAACACAGTTTTCACTGGTTTAAACAATATGTAACTTAATGTAAGTGTGCATTAGGTTATAAAAGTTTAGAGGTTAAACCTCGTAGTGCTACATCACCCCAACAGAGCACTTTGCGCTCAGGCTGCAGTTTTAGGCCTTTTATTCTGTTGAACCAACTCCCTTTTTGGGGACAGACACCTTCTCTGTTTTTAAGATTTGACTTAAAACTTTTCTTTTTGATATAGCTTATAGTTAGGACTGGATCAGGTACCCAAACTCCTCCTTAGTGGTGCAAGAGGCCCAGGTTGCTGGAGGCGTCCCATGATGCACTGAGGGTTTCTTTTTCACTTACTTCTTTTCACTTCCTGTGGTTGTACCCACTCTGCATTTAATCATTAGTCATTATTAATCTCTGTCTCTGGTCCATCATTGTGCTTTTTGTCATGTCTACCCCATCTCACTCCCAACCGATCAATGGCCGAGGGCTGACCCTCCTTCAGCCTGGATCTTTAAGAGGATTTTTCCGTTAAAAGGGAGTTTTTCCTTTCCACTGTTGCCAAGTGCTTCCGCATTGGGGCATGTGTGATTGCTGGGGTTTTCTCTATGTTACTGTATTGTCTTTACCACACAGTATAAAGAGCCTTCAGGTGACTGGTGTGATTTGGTGCTATATAAATAAAACTGAATTCTTAAAGTATGTCACTTTAAACGGTCTTGTTAGGCGCTATGTGCATTTGTTTTGTTTCAGCTACAGTTTTAAGAACTAGGTTTAACCAGATTCTTTATTTTCATATATTAATTAATTAACCTATTTTACAGTTTTTCCCTTCCATGGACCAACATTCTGTGCACAATCCCTACTGCTACTCTTGCAGGTTCAAGTATTACTCCTGAAACTGCTGATAATCATAAATGTAAGAAAAGTATGATTTATTGCAATGTTTTTATGCAGTTGTTTTTTGATATCCATATGCTTATATGTAGGGTGTATATGTCTCTGTTTTTTCCTTCTTTTTGTGAGGTTATTGATCCAGCCGTTGAGTTTCTACAAACATGCTCTAATTTTGCATCTTTGTCATGAAATAACCTTCAGCGCACATTAAAGTTGAATGTTTTTATCTCCGTGGGAGAGTTCAGAGCTCTCATAAAGACTCCTGTAACTAGAGAGTGTAACCGCTATTTATAAGCCGGACCTTGTATTTGTGTTATTTTGACTCTGACTTATTTTATTTTGTTTGATGTGTTTTGATGTTACATTTGATTTTTAACAGTTGGTCTCAAGGGACCTCCTGATTAAATAAAGGTGTAATAAATAAAATGAATAAGAAAAAGCAACATCGCACATCTATTCAAATTGTTATGTATTTTAACAGTTATAACCTCTTTCTGTAAATTAACAGATTCATAATAAAATCAATAAACTGTACTCGAAATTATCCCATGCCAACCCATTCTTTTCAGTCTGAAAACCTATTGTCATTTTTCAGTAACATTTCGAGCGTTTAAGAAATGGGTACTTCATCATGCTCAGAATAATGCACTTCAGCAATGTGTGTGATGTGGGCAAAGGTGTGTATTGTGTTGACAATACACACAACACTTATAAGAAACATATAAGGTTATAAGGTTTTTTGTCAATTTTGGACCAATAAATTATTAGGTTGACCATGCAAATTTTAATGAACTGTTAATACAACTGTACATAGCTATAAAGTTTTAGCTGAATGAATTTAAAGCTTTTAAAGCAGTCTTCTTAACAGAGAATGACAGAACGGATGCACACAGATACTACCAAAAACCTAAACTCCTTGGCGCAGGTAAAAAGGATAAATCAGGAATGCCTTGAAGGAATTTCTTGAAATTTAGCACAAACTTTTGTTTGTAATGTAACACTGCCTGATTAGATTTTGGTATGCAAAGGTAAAAGTGTATGTACTGCCTAAGACAACTGGAAAAGTTCAGGCTGTCACAGGTACTCTTGCTCAGGTTCTACCTCACCATTCATCACAACAGCTTTCACCACTTTATTGTTTGGCTCCTGAGCTTTGCTCTAAGTGTAGAAATACAGTAAACTGGGTGATGGGCAGTATAAATACTTGGTTGCCGGTTACTCCATTTAACAGATGTAAACTCTTCCCGGAAAAAGAGGGCAAGGGAAAGGTCATCAGAAAGTTGGAGCTCTGACAACACCTTCATCCTTTTTCTCCCCCAGGACATAACCATCATAGAGCACAATATTTAAACAGTTTCCATGTGTTGTTAAAACATTTATGCAATATCATCTCGGCTAAATACCTGCAGTCCAGCCACTTTTATTCTCTTTGTTTCACTTAGACTCTAGGGTAAATTATTCTGCTTAGTTTATTTTGTCATAGTGTGAATATATTTTGCTTTTAACTCATCTCTTTGTTGCTCTTTTGTTTTTAACTATGAAATAAGGTCTAGGCAAATGCAGCTGAAAGATCAGCGTCAGCATCACTTCACATAACATGCTTTTAGCCTTTAGTCATGCACTGACTACTCATGCATTGTCATTCCTATATGTTTGTGTTCTATCAGAATCACCTTTATTAATCTAGCATAACCTTTAAATAACCTTTTTATTACAATCAAACAAAGGTATCACTTCATATGAGCCTGGACAGACATGGACATAAATTCCAACCTGACTGGCTGGCAGTGGCATATCAACCATGATGTCACACCACTTTCATTTCAGCAGATCTATCAGACTACTTCCCCACGGACAGTTATTCTATAAAAGCATGTTTCATTTAAGATGTGAAATGGAGTACATGCTCTTCTTCCTCCTGCAGGTCACTCTTTCATTTTGGTATCAGTCTGTCCATCCTGTGATATTGAACAACGGAGCTGGAAGAGATCCAGTTGTTTCCAGCAAACACACATTGCCACAGCCTTCCTGGTAAAACTGCCTTCCTCTTATTCCCAACAATAGAGGTTGGTGGGAAGCAAAGGGCGATGTGTATGTGTGTGTGTGTACATTTGTTTGTATTCAAATTCACTCTTCTTTTCTTTTCTTTTCTTTTCTTTTCTTTTCTTTTCTTTTCTTTTCTTTTCTTTTGGAAAGATACTGGCAGGGTGGTGCTCTTTTCTTTCTGTCAAGTATTCTTGTTCTCTCTTGTGTTAGCGAGGTGGTGGTTGATGATACAGTATGTGAAAGCAAAATAAAACCTTCATGATGCATTCTAGTTCTTTACAGTACTTTGGCTCATCTCTGAAGGTGTTTCCACTTAAGACAGTTACTCATTCCTCAGCTGATTCACTGTCCAGTAACAATAACTGCAAAGTCTCAGTTTCTGCCATAATACTCTGAGCAAATGCTGACTGATGTGTGCATCATTAATAAAAATCTGCTCTATGTCAAAGTTCAAAATGAACTGTAGTTTCTCAGAGTTTATTTGCACACAAACATAGCAGGATTTTATTTTATTTTTTTAGCGTTTGGCTCACCCTAGTGGAATTTTTCTGACAATGCTTTCTTTGACGTGAGCTGGATTATAAAGTTCGAGACCTCAAAAGCCCAAGCCGTTGTGCAAAAACACATAAAACCAGGCCACGGCACACAGGCATAGTGAGGATTTGGCTCTGTTGAGAAATTCTGATAATTAGTAGAAAAAGAACTGCGGAAACATTTCCTGTCTACAGTCTTGACTGTATGTCACAGATTAACGGTCTGCAGCAATCCTTCTTTTGACAGGACTATAGGAATGCTACGGCTCTTTTCTTTCTTTCTTTCTTTCTTTCTTTCTTTCTTTCTTTTTTTTTTTTGAAAATTTGCAACTCGTTGAAAGCAAATGATTTACTTAAATAGAGCTCGGTGCAGTCCTGTTTCAGCAGAAACGTGAATGTCACTCCCTATCAAATCAAATGCGCAGAAGATACAAACCTTACAATTAGGGTCTATTTTCTTGTGGGAAGTTTGCGCAAGTTCTCAAATACTATTTGATGTGCAGACATTTTCATAACTTTAGAGTGTAAAGGGTTCATTAATTGAAATCAAATTGTGATTTAGCTTTTGTTCAAGTCAATTCAATTCAATTCAATTTTATTTATATAGCACCAAATCACAACAACTGTCGCCTCAAGGCGCTTTATATCGTATCAGTTCAACACTGTTGTATTGTATGTCTGAGTATAGAGAAGGCATATTTCATATAACTAAGCATTAAATGCCTCACATAATCAGTATACGTAAGCTGAAAACGTTGCATGGCCTAATATGGAATGTAGGCCTATTCTCTAATACGACTTATGTAAATCTCTGACAAAACCAAATTGCCCAACTTTCCCCCCAAAAGCTTCTTTGTTACCACTCATTCTTTCCCCAGTAAATGCCATGTCTGCCTCGGGCCAGCAGTAATTTGATTAATTCACCAAACGTAGCCAGACGGTAAGACCCTGCTCTCCTTCTTTTTCATTTATTTCACTGTTAAGGTTTCATTTTAAATGATACTTTGTGGAACTCATTCATCTAATTTTGCTTAATACCATTTAATTTCAGTTTTCAAGTTAATAATGTGCTGATGTTATTAATATTGGCTCAGTCGACTATTTAAATTTGTTTTTATTGCTGGATGAGAATGCTATTCACTTATAATTGCATTATATTTTCATCCTTAGTGTGAATCCTGCAGGGAGAGCGCTGAACAGCTATTGAAGAGATGGAGATTTTTGTCTTTCTATTCTCATTTTCCGCCCTTGGCATCCTCTATGCCATGAACACCATCTCTGAGCTTCAAGAGTAAGTTATTAAATGTACTGATTTCTTATCACCTTAATACATACAGTCTTTCCCATGAAATCATTGTAACACGTTATATATTATTCACTCACAACACATGCATTTTTTTAAACTATGAGAATAATTGTTAATATACAGTAATGTTAGAAATCCTTCCAGTATCACTGGGTGACAGCTGGTATACTTTTCTACCACTAGAGGACTCTGTAAGCTTAAAACTCAAACTGCATTAGTACTGGTGACTGTGTTATACAGTATGTATAACAAGCTGAGGAATCCTTGACCATATTCAACCCCGTACATTCTATGACATCAGTTTAAAGAGTGTATATGCTAGTTGTGCAAACTCTTTAAAGCTAACATTTCTTGAAGGGAAAGGAGAAACTAAAAGGGAGCAAATAGAAGGCAGAGTTTGTGGGCATAATGATATGACTGATATGATGGGGGTAATTGCTTTTCTAAGCTCGAAGGAATCACGTTCTCATTCAAGGCGTATCTGTTTTGCCTGTTTATTAGGATACTGTCTTTATAAGATTGTCAGCAGCTGATGGATAAACATTGTAATGCTTTAGACTGAATAAACAAAGATGGTGATAAAATGCATGTTTTAGTCTTCCCTCACCCACAAAGCATTTCAGCAGAATTTTTTATTCTTCCTATGTGAATATGTCTCCACACAGACATTTATTTATTTATTTGCCCATGTGGACACTGACAGTCAATATGGACTGCACAGAAGAGTTTGATAAATTACTCTTGACATACAATATGCCTTGTGCTCTTCCACTCCACAAACAAACGGTATTGTGTGCATAAATCTTCCTGTACTGTTGAATTGGAGGGGTAGCTAGGGAGCTTGCCTTTGCTCTCATAGCATTTGTTTTCCTTCTGTGAGCACACACTGTGAGTTTTGTGAGGATGCAATGTTGTTTACTAGGAGATACCTTGAGCACATTAATCTTTTCCAGTGTAAGGCGGAGGTACCTTTGACCAGTAAACATGGAGGGCAATGCTGAACTAACATGGCCTTAGCTTGCTGCATCCCACACCTCTGCCTATGATTGATTAAAGTTTGTAAAGATGTGCTTTTAGCTACTACACCAAGAGAGATGGGATATAGCAGATGAATACTGACCGTGGGAAAGTACGTATGTACGTATATATATATATATATATATATATATATACTATATATATAATATATATATATATATATAATATATATTATATATATATATATATATATATATATATATATAGATAGATAGATAGATAATAGATAGATAGATAGATAGATAGATAGATAGATAGATAGATAGATAGATAGATAGATAGATAGATAGATAGATAGATGGATAGATTGGATACATTGACATTTCTCTGTTTCCACAGGCCTTATGTGATTCTGGAGATTGGTGTTGCTGTGCTGGTGATTGTGTTTCTGTTCTACTTCCTCATCACTCGTGGCAACGCACCTAAAGACTTCTTATTCTTTGGTAATCAACGCAAATATGTGCATTTCCCAACTTACTTGCGTTGCATTTCCAAATACACTATGGAATTTTAATGACTGCTATGCATTGTTCCAACTCCCACAAAAGGATTTACAGAAGCGTGAAAACATGAATTGTATTCAGTGTGATTTCACCTGATATGTTGAAAGCAGCTTAGACTGATTAGGCTCAGAGCAAAGGTTTACCAGGCTTTTCTAAAGCGTGACTGACCCAAACGCTCCCTGCAGACTGACAACCCTCATAGCTCTTGCACTTACTTAACCTTTCAGCTATTCTTTTGAAACTGAGTTTTTGATTGCTTCTTAAGAAAAAAGGTCACAGCTATTTCGTAATACAGGACACAGTCGTTGCTCCTGTATAGTAGAATCTGGATTGCCCTACTGACTCAGTCTGAATAATTTGAGGACCTTTGTATTCACTTTGGTCATATAACAATAGCAGCTTGTGCACTTTTCATGCAAGTTTAAAGAATTCTAAAATATTTTGTGCTGTAATGTGAATTAGTGTGACCGGTCAAACTGAGCTTCCTCTCTACCCCAGGGTTCCCCCCTCAAATTGATCCCTGCAGCAGATGCTAGGGGCTAGGCTATTTGGGTGGAAATTTTAAACTATTGGCTGTGGGTGCTTAAGGCAGTGCTGGTATTGTCTATAAGAGCCAAAACATTAAGGGGAAAGAAGTGGCAGGCTTTTCTCATTGCTAGAGGGCCACAATCTCTCTGCTATATCACCTCTTAGATCTCAGAGATAATCTTAGTGGAGCTCCTCAGGATTACATGAGGGAGACAATATGTGAAACTGTGGTTTCTGTATAGAAACACAGATTCTGCAGTGGCCAGGTGGTAGATCATTGAAATGGCTTTCACAGGTGTTCTCTTTTAATTGACTTAAACTACAGACGTGTATTTTTTCTATATATCAACGATTATACCCACTTTATCCTGTACAGGGGGCTGTAGCCTGCACATATTAGTACTGGGCAACATGGAAGTTTGTAACTGTGATCCAGATAGTCAGCTAACTTACAATAAAACAATAAAATAAAGTAGAAAACCAGCAAAAACCCAATAAACTTGAGGCTGTTCATAGATGTTTGAGAACCTGGAGAATAACCACACAAACACAGAGAAAATTTGGAAAATCCACACAGAAAGGGTCTAGTTGATCAGCAGACTCAAACCCACAAGCTTCTTGCTGTTGTGCAAAAGCACTAACACTTGCAACAGTGCACAGTGCATAAATGGAAGTAGCAATCTAATCAGCAGTACAGTATGCACAAACAGCAGTTTGCAATGTGTAGAAGTTGGCTGTTGTATTTTATAATAACTGCTATGCTGTGCTGTAGAATAGCAATCATTTATTCTGTCACAATAACTCTACCAGATGGTCTACCAAAAGTCATGCTGCTGCTCAGTGGCATTCACAATCACATCATTTCCAAGCCAATTAGATCACGCCTAAGATAAAATCTGGACATCTGGAAAGGGAGTTGCTGGTCAATTGTTTTATAAACATACTGTATGCAAATGATACGGAATAGCACATTGCATTCTGTTATTTTAATGCTGCAATATGGGTCGAAAGCAACACTTCAGACTTTGTAATTTCTCAAAGAGAGCTTGGATAGAATGTAAACTGGAGTATTAATAATAGTTCATAACAACAGTGTTATTGTTACAGTTTATATTAATAGTAAGCCCTCCATGCCAATAATGTGTATGTGTGGCTTCATTCTTAAATATTATTTGCTAGACGAGACCTTTCAGTTCTCCTGGGTCCTTAACCTAAGGACAGAAGTCTGTTCACCATGGACTCGATTTAAGCATGCCTCATACCTCGTTGCTCAAGACTTAATTTTCTCCCCAAGCTGTTCCATTAATCAATCACCTGCCATTTGAAGGAAAACCTTTTAAACAAAAAAACAATGAAAAAGGCTCAGAAAATCTAGAAAGATTTGATGTCATGTTCTAATATACTGTAATTTATAGAGGAATTCAGGTGTCAGAATATGCAAAAAGAGTAACTTTTAATATTATAGTGCCTTCAAAGCGAGCAAAGCTGCTTAACCTTCCGAGTTTTTCAAGGTTCTAAAGATATTGTACACTACCAATTATCACCTACACACAGGCACAGAGCTGAAATTACAGGGCTTCTGGTATGAAGCACACAGGTTAGCCTTTTAAATATCCATTAAATCATTTTTTCCCCCCACAGTTTTTGCTGAGTTTTCTTTCACATGTATCATTGACCTGACAAGTGCTCTGGAATATGATGGCATTATTTCTGGCTTTATGGAGTTTTACCAGAAGACGGTAGGTTTTATTCTTATTCTTATTATTCTTATTTATTAACATTTAAAATTCTGAAATTCTAAAAAAAACCCAAACACCCAACAAACACCGATCAAAGCACAAATAACCATGTTAAGCAAACATGATAATAATGCTGTGAGGCATGTATGTACAACTTCTGTGTTTCAGGGAGAGCCCTATCTGGGAACGTCGTATGGCATCATGATGTGTTACTGGGATGGAATAGCACACTTTATCATGTACCTGATGATGATCAGCAGAATAACAGACAGGTGGGTGATGCTAAAGTCACATCACATAATGTCTGCATTAAATGACAATAGAGAGATCTACAGGGTAGGGTCCCTTTCAAAATGCGAAAACACACACAGGATGGTATGAAAACTGTCTGTGTATACAGTCTAAAAGCAGTAGGAATGCATTTCAGTGCAAAGATAAACTTTTCTTTTACAGTATATGTCAAGCTTCAGGCTTATCTTTTTCCTGTATTTGAGCTTTTCTAAAGAAATAGTAACTGAGCCAATGATGTGTTTCACTTTAGAAATTCATGGGTGGATTTATCACATAAATCCCAGACAACGGCTCGAGAAAAAAAAGATAAAAAAAAAAGAAAAAAAAAAAAGAAAGCCTCCTCTTGAGTGAGTTAGTCATAAAGTGCAGCCAGTGAGTTCAAGAGTTCAGGGGGAGCACAGCCTTGGGGATGGCGCTATCATGGATATTAAATCCTCTTTTAAACAATATCAGCCTTTTGTCACTTTAGAAAGTGAGCTAGGCATTGTGTTATCTGTAGGATGGATATGAGAAGTTCTCAAATATCATTTATTTAAACTTACCCAGCCTTGAAATTTAACATATAACTTTCCATCTCATTTGATCTCTTTGGTCTTTTTTTCTGTATTTTTCTGTTTCTCTCACAGGAAAGCCTACCGCACTCTGGGCCTGTTCTGGGCTGGCTCTTTGTGTGCCAACATGAGTGTGTTTATTGTCGGGATAGTGGCAGGTGAGCCGCATCTTCAATCCGCTTTCTGTCTGTCCCACGATGACAAGCTTTAATCAGGCAAACATCTGCCCTGCCTTGTACCATCAGTGTCACAGTTCAGCCTGCCAACTAAACACACATGCTCCGTGTCTCGCCTGCCATCACAACCTCACAGAACAAAGCAGCAAACAGACTTAAAGCATCTGTTGTTGGCATTTCAAACTGCATACATAAGCGTCAGAAGCCCAGACTTGTCTGGAGGCAACGTGATGTTCGCTCTGTTATGTTAGCATCGATACGCCGCACATCTCTCTTTTGCCTCGAGTATCACAATTGAGGTTTTAATAGAAAGCTTAATTGCTCATTTACATTAAGATGTTTACAGGCGGTGTTTGTATAGTTAAGTGCATGCTGACAATAAGTGTCTATCTTTCTCTTTGTGGCAGGTAAATATGGGTCAGAGATCCATCCAGCCTTCTGGCTCAATTTTCTCTTTCTTTTGATGCCTGTGTTGGGAGCAATCGTTCTATTCACTCGGGCAAAAGATAGACCGCTTATTGGTGGATACAATGTAAGTACAGAACATGAATAATTAGACATTTATATGATTGTGGAGGGCTTTAGAGGTGCATTGTTGCTCAGGTGAATGTGATCCAAACAATGAAAACTCTGTGTGACTGTTAGTGTAGTTAGAGCGGTGTGCTTGCTGAATCTGTTAGTTTTTTAAAAACAACAATTAAATCTCAGATTCTTGCTTTTTCTATCATATTATCTAGTATTGTGTTCCAGTTGAGTCTTAAAGGGCCTCAGTTCTGCAGATTTCCAGTTCCATGCCATTTTAACTCACCGGCACCGTTCCTTTAACTCAGCTTTCTGCTTCCATGCTATCCTCACAGTCAGAGTTGATAAAAAAACATAGAAGAAGCTCAACATTTAGACACCTGAGCCATGATTGTTTGATTGCACATTTATTTATGCCAGGGGGAAGTTGTATTTGAGCTATAACTTGTTGTGGTCTTCATTTCAGTTCAAGTTAGGCTGATTTAATTTAAAGCACCTGCAATCAATACTTTTCATAGTGAAGGAGAAGGAAGTGAATATATTTGTTTTGAGTCCTCTTCACATATCGACAAATTCTTAACATTCCACAGGCCCAGCATGCTCAGAGCCTGAAGCTGATCTGGCGTCCTTTGGACATCATTCTGCTGGTTCTCCTGGTAGCTGCCATGGCCTTCACCATCCTGAGAGGCTTGGTTAGTATGTCATATATAAAATTCTAAAGAGATTTTAATGAAGGACTACAACTGTAGTTTTAAAAGAAAGTGAAAAAAGACAACAACTGATAAGAAGCATCATCTTATTAGAAAAGCTGGAGTTAAAATAATAGTATTTTTATAAGACATATAATATGTAGGTTGTGAAGTGCTTGTCAGGTCACATCTAGTCATATGATCTTTCCCCCTGGATTCAGTGTATCTCGTTTCTTTATTGGTCTTTTCTGTGACTGACTTAAAATAGCTCAGTAATCATACTCCTTAAGCCTGGCAATACAGCAACTGCCTATGTAAATCCACATTAATTGACACTGATCACATTTCCTCCTTCACATAACCAAGAGTCCAGTTTATTTTATGCTAAAAGCTCTAAAAAAGCAGGCATATTAACATTTATAGAAGTCGACCAGCTCTTGTTATTACTGCGATGTCGATACTTCCAGGTCACTTCACTCAGTTGGGAAACTTTCTAAACAAAATTGACTGTTTGAATGCAGGCTGACTCCTGGGATATTCCCCATTTTATATTTTTTTGGACACTCCTGCTCAAGGTGCAGTCAAACAACTCTGACAGCTTCTTCACTCCTGGAAGACAGACAGACTTAAAAAGAGGGTAGACAAGAGAGTGGGAGATTTAGAGAGGGTGTGACACAGTGCAGGCAGAAACTCACGAACCCCTCAGTATACAGTGAATAAACATGTTTTCCAAAATGTCAAACAATTCCTTTAACCATGCTCAGTGTGTTATTCTGTTTAGTCACATTGACAAATCTTCTCTGGATGTTCATTTTGTTATTTTGACAAGGGAAGAGAATCGTTCAGATCTACGCATTGGTATTTTATGCTGTTCTCTTAAACTGAACTACACTGTAAGGTTTTTCTATCATGTTGTTTGCTCTCTGTAGGTGGCTCTGGACTCTCCACTTGAAGCCTGTTCCATATACCTGAAGCAGTATGAACCTTACCTGAAGGATCCTGTGGGCTACCCTAGAGTTATGGTGGGTGTTTTATTTTCTCGCCACACAGCCTTTCTGCCTGCCGTTGCTGGAACACCTGAAAGCTCTTCTCCAGTCTATTTTAAATAACAAGCCATATAATGGACCTCTGCTTTCATGGATCTCACTATGAGCGTGCTGGAAGCTTGCCCTTATCTCCTCCACTCTTTCAACTCGCAGCTGATTACAAGGCCCTTTTTCATCATTACAGCAATAACGAGCGTGGGTTGAGAGGCCAGCGGATCTTTGTGTCTGTCTTTCATTTGGTTAAGATGGATAACACATTATTACTTTGACGGGCACTGGTCTGCTGTCTTTTTATTTTCTTCCCCTGACCCTGTGTAGCCGTGGGTTTTGTTGTGCTTTGTTTGGCATACATGGCTTTGTCAATAGGTTATCCAAAGACCTTGTCTGGACTGCAGTCCAGGCACAATTGAGAGTCAATGATCAGACAGATGAACCGCATGCTGAGAACTTGATAAGGTAATCCCTGCCCAAAGCCTCCCATCAGCATCTCGCTGGGCGGGAGGAAGATGCGTGTGCAGCATGTGGAAGTGCGTCTTGTTTAGCAATGTTTGCGGATCTGTGTTTGTGTGTGACTGCCAAGGCTTCATGGGCATGTGCAAAGAAATCAAATGAAGTTTGGCTTACCGGGCAATCCTGCTCAGTTTCTGAACTAACCGACCTCTTCATTTATTGATGATGATGAATGATATGCGACAGATTACTGTGGCTGCACTAAGAAGGCATTTCAACAAAAGACTGAAGGGCATATATGATTGGCTTTCAGGCCCCGAGCTCAACTCATTAGAATTCATCTGGACCTAAGACCGAGAATGAAAGGAAACCGTTCACTGGTATAATTTGAGGCTTTTATAAAGTGGGAAACAGGCTTTCATGCACCAAATATTTTAAGTTGAAGGTCAAGACTCTCTCTGTAACGACCCTTGTGTGGAAATGGTAAGTTGTGCTGAGGGTGCAAATTTGTGTTAGAGAGCATGCATACAGTAGCTGAGAAGCAGCAAAACACTGCAGTGCTAAAGTTAATGATTTTAATATTTTCTTTTGATTATTTTTGTCTCTTCATTTTAATTATTGAATTAATTGTACATTCATCCAATGTATGCAGTTCAAATGTGGGATAAAAGGTTAAATTAACCCCCAGGATATAACTGGAAGGGACAAAGCGGAGTATTTTAATTGTGATACCTGCCAATACTAATTCTCTTAGGTTTTATTTCGATTAGTGCTACTTTTCTGCAGCACATTAAAGGGCGCTCTGTGTTTGCATTTTGAGGCTTAAGCAGCCCTCTTCTGTATTCACTGTGAGTAGCTGAAGTGCGATGTGGGCCAGTGGAGACTGAGGATGTACTGTATTAATTGTCTGCTGGACTGTTGGTCAGGGCTCAACAACACTGACTGACAGTGATGGAAGAATCTTTCAGCTCTGTTGGGCACGTCCAACCATATCCTGAGCAATATATCATGGAATATACAAGATATTATAGAGAGAGACTACCTACTGTGAGAAAGATACATTTTTAGTATTGTGAGATATGATATGAAATCATATTATTAGACTAATGGTGCAAGCTTTTTTTTTTTAACCCTAGATGCTGCACCTGTTCTTTTATGCACTACCCTTGCTGGGTGCTTTTGTTTATGGTCTCCTCAAGCCTGGGTGCACATGGATGCCGGACTGGACCATCTTTCTTGCCGGAGCTATGATCCAGGTAACGCCACCAGAGGACAGACTGTAAATAAAGAAAATTACTATGAATGCATAGTTTAAGCTACAGGTCTTTGAATACTGATGCAAGATTCACTGACAGTTTTCTGCATTGGAAGCTGCTGCGATAATTGCTGCCTTTGACCTATTACAGTTTTCCATCTGCCGTTTATGTTAAATAAGAAGCGGTCCAACACATGTCAGGGCAATTAACTCCATCTAGTGAGCTTTCATCTTTCTAAAAATGACCTGGACAAAATTTATCTTTTGAAGCATATTCTCTGTAACAAACAAGCTGGTGGTGCTTTCTCTCCATATTGCTCTGACAGAAAGATTGGAGCCATGAGAAGAGAAACTACTTGATTAAAGCCTTTTTGCACACTCTCTGTCTTCTAAGCCAACTTCCAGTTAGACATAAAGATGACATTTTCAGATGTCGTTTATCTTTTTTGTTAGTAGCTTTATCTTGTGTATTTTAATAGACTAATAACAGTGGAAAAATTTGTTTATAATTTTTGGAAAGAAATACTGAGGCATCAAGTTATCTGTCATGAGTGTGCAGAGAGAGTAAGAGACGAGTAAAAGCTGATATGTAAAGTAATGTCCTCCTATATGCAAACAGTTTGACCTCTTTCTTTCTCCTTTCAGTGCCAATGGTCCCACATCGGGGGATTCCTCCACCCTCGCACCACAGCGCCGTATCGCATTCCAAGTGATGCTTTCTGGTTGGTGCTGGCAGCTAACTTGGTCTATGCAGCAACTCCAGTCCTTGTGGCCCTGCGGGTCTACAGCAACCCCTATTTCTTCCTAAAAATTGCTCCCTTCCCTGGGCAAACAGGTTTACCAATCAGCGAAGAGAAAGACACCAAGTATAAACTGAAATGATCATTTTTAATCTTCTCTGACCTTTGGAGGTAATTACTTATCTGATGATTCATGAAGAACTGTTTTCTTTGAAAGACCATGTTTCAAAATGCCAAAATACAACTTATTTTGCTGAATGTCTGTGGATTTATTGGTTATTTCTTTGCTTTCAGCATCTTTTTCTCATATTGTATGCATAAACAGTAAAACCACAAATTGGTCAATGTCAATACCATCATCTATACATAACCATGGCAGCAGAAAGCTTGTATAGGAAAAGCAGGGGTATTCGGAGCCACTTGGATGTATACTGAAACAACTCATCAGCTCACTTTTTTTGGAGTGCCATAATAGGGGTTAACCCTTTTAGATTCACTGTCTACTCTGCACAGAATAACCGACATACTTCTTTCTTTACTGGCAGAGTACCTTTCGAAGGTTTGCCGATGTGTTGCAATTTCAAGCACAGTTTCACTCCAAGCACCATGTGGGTAGTTTTAAAGTTACAATTGGGAGATGAAGAATTAAATATTTGCTGCACCTGATGATTTTACTCATCGTTCTGGATGGCATTTTTGACATTAAAAAATGACATGCTATGACCTGTAAAAGATACAGACATGCAGCAGGACAACGCTAGAAGAAAAACAGCCGACTCTTCAGAGAGGTGCAGAGCTGAGGCGTTGGACCGAGTCATAACACAGTCCAATCTTAACAAACAGAAAACATGTAAATAAAAAAGACTTACATTTCCTGAACATACCATATTCCCTCACAAATATCCTTAAATCTGCTTAAGATATCAGAGAAGAGAGAAGTTTCAAAACTTGTATAACAATAATATTTGATAGTATCCATATGGTACTTCTCTTTACATGTAGGGGCTGCTAAGAACTAATTTTTGATATTTTTATTTTGTCACAGATGCTAAAATACAAATAAATACAGGGTACAAACAAGGAGAGCAGTGATACCTATTTGTGTGGACTGAATCCAGATAAAAACATTATGGTGAAAAGAACACTGCACCAGTAATTTAACTCATGTTTTGCAGTTTGGCTCTTTTATGAGATCAACTGATGATCTGATCAACTTTGTACATGTTTCAAAGTACGGAAAAACGTTTTATTATATTTTCGCACAAAAGTGAGATGTCACACTGAGCTAACTGACATCTTGCAGTATGCTATATAACTGAGACTCTATGTGCTCACCTTTTCCCACCCAGCATCACTGGAGCCAGGGCAGATCATTACTCAGGGACTGAGTGGCAAGGATATGCCGACAGCTGTTGTCACTCAGTCACTCTGGTGAATATACACAACTAGTTTTAAAAAGACATTCGTTCTCTCAGAATAGCAGGAACACGAGACACGCCTCTACTGTTCTGCATTCTGTCTGATCCTCGGTGCCCAAATTGCCAGCTTTTCATTCCATATCTGTTTATGTTCCTTGATCCCCTTTGTTTCCTTTCTGCTGATTGATGCTGCTGTGTGTTGGAAGTGTGTGGGCGGCTCAGTAAATAGTCTACTCTCATCATTGTCTTTTACAAAGACATCAAATGAATGACTTATGATTTGTGTTGTTTTTGTTTAGGGGAAACAAACACACTTCAGTGACCACCGGGCTCACTGGAGGAGGTTTGCTGACATTTAATTAGAAGAAAGACCATTGTTGAGATCCCTGCCAGTGTTATAACTGTGGGTTCTCAGAATGAGAGGCTTAAGAATAATTATCGCTTCAGCATGTAATGGAATTCACAAAACTATCTGCCAAATATTTTCAATAACTCGATGCTTTGAATGCAGTTCAGTCACATGAGCACAATGAACAGTGTTTCTTGACAGAGATGAAGGAGTTATTTATGTGGCTAGATAAAGCTTTTTGAAACAGCAGTGTAACCTTTCTTTCCATCCCCACCCCATCAATAACTGTAGCCCACTCACAAGTAATTATCCCTTGTACTTTGCTAAGCAATAGGCCAGCAGATAGGGAGAGAGGCAAACTCATTTAATTCGCTCTCGCTCAGCAGCTTTTTTACATGCTGAAGTGTGACATCGTTCCTGCTTGCACATTCGGTGCATTCTGTGTGTATGACACAGGCTTTAAATCAAATGCGGATACTCCAAACAGCTCTCTAATCCCATGATGGGCGTCACAGGGGATCTTTGCTGCAGATGTCTGCTCGGCTGTGCAGGAGGCCCAGGAGAGGTGTGGAGCAGTGAAAAATACAACTAAGCAATCCACACTGCAGGGGTGGAAGGACTTCCAGTGAGGTATCGTGATAAAATATAAATATAAATGTATAAGATTTTATGAATGCATGGCACAACTTAAGTTAAATAACCAATTAATGCATGGCTTATGATAAAAGGAAAGTTTCACAGTTTACATAGAGCTACACAAATATAACCATGCTGAGTCAAAACACATCAAGTACATGATCAGCATGTGTTTCCCTAATCTGAACATGGTCCACTTGTTATTTGGTCCATGCATTCAATATGAACACAAACAAATAGGCTCTATTTGTTCTCATGACTCAAGCTCTCTGACTATTTATGAGACAGTGGTTGGTAACATGCTGCATACATGAAAAGGCATCAGTTAACTAACATATGCTTTGACTATGAACTTGAATTTTAACTTAGCGATATCTGCCATAGCCATCCCTGCCATACTAGATGCAAAGAAAACAGGTGACTCCTAACTTTGATAGTACTGATTTTCTTGAAATTGGTTTCAGAAAGTAGGTTTTAAATCCACAAAATCTAAGTCACTGAATCAATGCTGATGGACATTTTTGGCCAATGGTTGTTCAATTTCATTAGAGAAAATTACCTCCCCTCTAGGTAACAGTTAATCTTAGACAAAACCCTTAGTGTTTTAACAGTATCAGAAAAAGAATGCCTGGAGTGTATTTTCCAGATTTTAATAGATTTGTAGGAGGATCATTTTTCTCTTCTCTGCTCTGAGGTCCCCGAAAACGAATAACTTGCATGCAAAAACCTTGTTAAAATTCCATGGATACAGGGCAGAGAATATTTTGTTCATTTGAGGATAATACATCATTGAAGAGCGGGTTAAAAAAATGCATCAAACAGCCTGTTAATGCTTTTGGTAACAGCCAGCTGTTGGCTCATGGCCTGAAAGCAAGCTGTCAGTGTTAATGCTGTCAACCTTCAATTTTCCCCATAAATCATTATTTAGTTGTTTGTGTACAAATTTCCCCTTTCCTTAATTTATTTATTTATTTTTGCATCTTATACTGATGCGGTTTTGATACTTCAGAGAGTGGGTGGGCACAAGTCACGCTTAAAAAAGACTTGAAAAATCCCTGATTCCAAGAAGGCGAGGTCATTTTGGAAGAAAAGAGACAAATTTATAACAAAACTCTGAACTTAAGAATTGATGTATTTTTGGTGGTTTGACTGTGATGAGAAGCTACATCATAGAGTAGAATCCCAGATGAAGGCAGGAGACATTGACTGGACCCCCTAGAGTCAAGACACGGGAGATGGTGGTTGAGCATAGTAAGCAGAAAGCTGAAGACTTTGGATGAGATCCCTTGGAAAACTTGGATGGGGTGGACATGAGAAGGGGGAAGGCTTACTCGGCAGACGGTCTAAAAGGGACAGTCACCGATTACAATCAATATAAAGAATTAGCTTACAGAGACACGGAATTGGACTTAATTGGTGATACTGAAATTTTGAATTTGACAGAGGATATGTGGAGAGAATATGAGAGAACAGAGCTTCCTATGACAGACTTATGCATGTTCTTAACCAATTTATCCCACTGGATGAACAGAAAATTCATGCAAGTCTGAGGGACAAAACTTCTTCTTTGCAGCTCAGTCTGATAACCTTCACATCAACAAAAATTCAGTCAATGGACAGCAAAGGCAAAAACTTTGCTTTCAAGTGAAGTTTTATACCATCATCTGATCCGTTGCAATTTTGTCTTTAGATCATGCACAGTAATTTTAGAGAGGTCTAAAGCTTTTACCTGTGGGCCCGGTCTTTGAACCCACACAATCTTTCATTTGCACTATAATCAACTATCTCTGTAAAAAATTTTAAACTAATGATGCCAAGATCCACCTTCAAATAGTTGGAGCCATATTTGAATTATATTTAATTATATTTCATGATATGCTCTGAATTCTGTAAGAACAATTCACATTCCTTGTGTAATGGTATGTCATTCATGCTAATTACTGGCCCTTCAATGCAACAAGAGAAAACCCAACAACTTGAGATCAAAGTGCGCTCTTTATTACCTTTCTCTTACTCAGCCATAAAGTTATCTAAGTGAATTTGATTTGTCTTGAATACAACAATCAATCTTAATTCTCAGTCAGCATTTCATGCAAACAGTTTCTATTATTGATATTGATCTTGAAAAGAAACATTGGTTTGCCTGAAAGTAAATAAGCTTTTACCACATTAACTGAATCAATGTGACAGTCGAATAAGTGACACTCTAATTGGCTTTATAATGCAGAGAAGACGTATCCACGCACAGTGCACAATCAAATATGTGCTGCGTCATCGGAGGACTGCGGGAACGACCCACAAACACTGGTGGTTCCCCTGCAGAGTGAGAGAACAGCAATGGGACTGGAAACAGAGAGAAAGGTGGGGGGTGGGGGGTGCAAGAGAGAGGTGAGTGCTGCTGCAGATCAGCGTTTAGCCTTGCTGAGGAGTTAAACGCTTCACAGCATCACATCGTCATCATCCAGGCATTTAATCCTGTTGTGATAGCCATGGTAAGTTCATACACTTCTATGCTCGGATAGTATGGCTCTGCTCGGCAGTTCTGTGTGCTACGTTACCGTGCAGCTGCAGGGATGATCATTGGACTAACCTTGAGAGAAATGATGCAGCAGGGCTGTTTATAGTGTGCAATGTGCATGTAAAATAGCTGCTTTAGTTACTCTGCTTCACTGAGGCCTGAATTCATGTTCAGAATTTATGTGGTGCACCAGAGCTGTTTCATAGGAAGTGATTATTCACAGGTGACGCTGACATTGCAGACCTCTAGCAGTGCATGCAGTGGCAGCATTTGCCTTGACACCTTTAAGATGACTATTATAATGATTTTATTCCATACACAATGAAGTGAAACTCTGACCTCTGCATATGCAGAGTGGTTTGCATTGCACCATCCCCTCGACCAATCATGGATATATTGATGCAGCAGAAACACTGGTGTCACATGCTGGCTCTGTCCATGCTTTACACACTCTCCTGTGCAACAATAGCATTCAGGGAGAACTGTGTTTATTTTATTTTATTTTTTAGCAAAGTAACCCTTTTGTGGTACCTGCCAGAGAACAGGTAATAACAGTCCTTATGTCTAATGTGTATGATAACAACAACAAATACCACATTTATGTTTTTCTTCAGTAGCTGCCATGATTTTTTTTGTTGTTCCTGTGTGTAGTCTTTTGTTTACTAGCTGGCTGCCTCTGATCCAGGACTTTTCACTGAAAAAAAAATCTTTAAAATACTTCCAGTTCTTAATTGAGACACATGGCAGTGCAGATAAAAAATAGCAAACAAGCTATAAGTTTAAACTATGCTGTGAGAACTATGCTTCTCTTTTGTGCTGTGACTGTGAGCTAAAAAATTGATTAATATAATTGATTGTCTGTTTTCAGCCATTTGGTTACCAGTTTTAGTGCAGAGCATTTAAACAGGCAATATATGCATTTTCTGGTTGAGTTTTATTATTGCTGGAAAGTGCTAGGAAATGTTAATTTTATCCTACTTGTTTAGGATGTATCAAAGTTGACACTGTCAAGCTCAACTACTACAAGGCACTGCCAGCAAGTTGTACTAAGTTGTTTCCGATTGCGCTGGTTGTCATGTATGAGCTGTCCTTTCTTGCAGTTCTCAAAGGAGCTCCAGCCTCTGATCTTTGTGGCATTTATCCTGACTTCTGCTCTCTCGGTATCTTCCTCGCCTGCTGGCATAGAGAAAGGAAGGAGGAAAGTGGTGCATGTTCTTGGTAAGACCAGTTAACACTTTCATTTGTATGAACAATTACACTTCTCCAAGGTGAGGAGATCTTGATTTGCATTTATCTGCTCAATAACATCAATGATATGTAGAGTTTCTTCAGGATTTTTTTTTTTTTTTTACTAAGATAGTAATAAAAAGTTGGTGGAAAAGTTACTGGAAAAATCTGAACAGCTTTATTAACCTCAGCTGGGTTATCTTAGAATCCAAGCAAAATAGACTTCTTTAACTTTTTATGGGCTTTGGGATCCGGAGCTCTCCACTAACTCTCCAAACTCAGTGCACCTGTATTCACATTAATATATAATATATTCCACATCCCACAGTATTTTGTGCAGAATTTCTTGGCAATTGCGATTTTATTCATTCATTTCCGTGACATTGGGCTGTGCAGATAAAACCGCCTTGGCCATTTTGTAACAATGATAATCTTCACAAGCAAAGCTTTCACTTTTGTTCATTATCAGAACTGTGAGCACCCAATTAAACACTGCCCACCTGAGGACCGAGATAAACATTTGTCTTGTCAGAAAAATAGAGAATGTCAAAGATTAAACTATTGACTGCAGTACTTCTGGTTGTCTATATTACCTTCAGAGTAAAAGCTAAAAAGATCTATTTTCTCTTGAAATAAAACAGTTGAAAATAATTGAATTCTTGCTGTTGTTCAACATAACGTTTATAATTTTATTTATTCATGTAGTTTATGTGTTACAGACATGCTGGTACTTTGTGAATTTATCAGCTTCTAGATACAAATAGGTACAGGTATGTGAAGCACACTCACTCTCAGTTCATGACAGCAGCCATGGGGTGAAAGTGAGGGTACACCCTGAAAAGGTTGATGTCTGTTGCAGTGCTAACACAGAGAGGTGGACAATCATTCAGGCTCACACTGATACCTACGGGCAAAATAAAATGACAAATTAAGCTAACAAGCATGTCCTTGGATTGTGGGAGGAAGCCAGAGTACCTGAGGAGAAGCCCCTAAGAGAGATCCACACAGAAAGACCACTGGTGACCTTTCTTGCTGTGAGGTGAGGGTGCTAACCACTGTGTTGCCCTAAAACACTTTGATACTCTCGTTTTCACCATGTGTGGCACTGTGGATTATGGCCAGACATCTCCACTTTGGTCTTGTCTGTTCAAAGGACATTGTTCTTGCAGTCTGTTCACATGCAGCCCTGCAAACCTAAGCCATGATGCAATGCTCTTTTTAGAGAAAAGTGGCTTTCCCCTTGCAAACCTTCCAAATAGGCTATAACTGTTCAGTTCCCCCTTTCACAAATTTTACATTTGACATGCAAACTGAAGCCTGCAGAGTTTGAGATGTATCTTTTGTTTTGCACATTCTGACTTTGGGGTGAATTTGCTGGGATGTCCACTCCTGGGAAGATTGGCAACTGGCTTGATTGTTTTCTACTTCTGAATAATCTTTGTCACTGCAGAATGATGGACTTCAAATTGCTTGGCAATGGCCTTATTATTCTTCCCCGACTGATAGGTGGTAACAATTGTTTCTCTGTCTTCCGTTCTTGGCATTTCGTTAACACACACCTGAATGTTCCAGACCAGCGAGCTGCCAAGATTTGATTTTATAGAGATGCTCAAACGTTTTGATGACAATTTAATCAAGTGCATTTTATTAGCAGCGCCTGGTTGTGACTTTCCCACTCAGTTCCCATGGAAGCAGTAACGGTGAATAGTTTTTCACACATTGCTTTTGCATTTAAACAAACAAATAAATGATTAATGACTATTTTTAAATGCAATATGCCACATTTTGTTGTTCATCTGAGGTTTTATTTACATAATCTTTAGCCCCGTTAAGGACAAAATGTTTCTTTTTTTCTGTCCTGACATGCAAAATCCTAAAACTGAAATATGATGTACTTTATGTTTCATCAATTCCTATTCCTTTTAGGTTGTTTCTAGACTGGACATTTTAAAACATGATGGAAAACTTAAGTCAGTCGGGTACTGGCTCACTTGAGTCACACACTTGCTTTCTACTCTTTTTCTACACTGTGTTTAGACTAGAAGATGAATGAAATAGTTAATGTTGAAATCCTCTGTAGGCCTAAAATCTGATCATCTCCAGAGGAGTGGTTTATTTGAAGAATTTCAGTCAGTCTTTTTCAGTTCATCACAGCACAGAAACAGCATTAGTGAAGTTTACAAATGATCTTCTTATGGAATCTGACAGTGGACTCATCTCTGTGCTTTTCCTGTTAGACCTCAGTGCAGGTATCACTCACCACATCATTGACCATAATGTTTTACAGGTATTAGAGGTTACGTGTTAAAGGTGTAATTATGTACTTCCACAGGATTCGATACTGGAACCAATTCTATTTTCATTAAACATGCTTCCCTTAGAAAGTATCATTCAAAGGCATAACATACATTTTCATTGTTATGCAGATGATACTCAGTTTTATCGATCAATGAAGCCATACTACACAAAGCAAATCAATGAACTACAAAAATGTCCTAAATATTTAAAGATCTGGGTGACCTGTTTCCTGCTTCTGAATTCAGATGAAACCTAGGTTATGAACTCATCCCCAAAAAACTTAGAAACATGGTGTCTAACTAGATGCTTGCTCTGGATGGCATTACCTTGGTCTGCTGTAGCACTGTCAGTAACCATGGAGTTGTTTCTGACCAGGATGTGTAGGACTACTTTTGCGTTTGCACAATGTCTCTAAGATTAAAAACTTTTCTCGGGGTGATGCTGAAACTAGTTCATGAATTTATTTATTTCTAGGCTGTACTTTTGTAATTTACTATTATCAGGCTGTCCTAAAAAAATCCTTGAAAGGCCTTCAGTTTAGCCAAAATATTGCAGTGAGAGTACTGACAGGACTAGAAAGAGATAGCATATTTCTTCCATATTAGCCTCTTCATTGGCTCTCTGTTAAATCCTTCTCCTCACATACAGGGTGTTGAATGATCAATAATCATCTTATCTTAAAGACCTCACGGCACCATATCACTCCATCAGAGCACTTTGCTCTCAGATTGCAGGTTTTCTTGTGATTCCTCTGTAATTAGAAGCAGAATGGGAGGCAGACCCTTCAACTTTCTGTGGAACCAGCTCCCAATTTGGATTCAGGAGACAGACACCCTCACCACTTTTTATAGAGTAGGCCTAATACTTTCCTTTTTGATAAAACAAATAGTTAAGGCTGCATCAGGTGACCCTGATTCCTCCCTTAGTTATGGTGCTGCTGGGGGCTTCCCATGATGCACTGTTTTTTCCTCACTCACCTCTTTTCACTCTGTGTATGTTTATAAAACACTTTGCATTTAATCATTTGTCATTATTAATTTCTGGCTCTCTTCCACAGTATTGCCTGTACTGTCTCCTTTCCCTCATCCCCAACAGGGTGAAGCAGATTTCAACAGATGAAAAGCCATGCTTCCATGGCTGGTTCTGCCTATTCTTCCTGTTAAAAGCGAGTTTTTCCTTCCCACTGTTACCAAGTGCTTACTAATAGTGGGTCATCTGACTGCTGTGGTTTTCTCTGTATTATTGTAGGCTCTTTACCTTACAATACAAAGCGCCTTGATGCAAGTGTTGTGATTTGCCACTATTTAAATAAAACTGACTTGAATGAAAGTCCGCTTCTAAATCATAAATTATGATTTAGAAGCATAAAGCAGCCAAACAATGTTAATTTAAAAAAAGGTGAAGTGAAGATGAAACAGCAGGAGGGTTAAAACATTTGCAGATCCCCAGAGTAAACAGTGTGACCCTTTTTAAAAGTGACTGATGAACCCCTTGGATCTGAAAACACTATCACTGCTGGAAAATTTTAAAACCTAATGAAAATGTTAACTTTGTGTTATTTGGCTTAACATAAGTATGTCACAACATAACCTCCAACGCTGAGAAATAATGCGCTTAAAGTTTTGATTAAACATCACTTGATGCTTTTATTTGTGATGGTGATAAACAACTTTGCAGAGACCAGTAAGTAGTGACAGGACTAATTGCTGGCTGGCATGGATAATTGTAGGTGCCTTTATCTGGTCACAACATAGCAGAAAACCTTTTGCAGCTGCTCATTAAACATTTTAAATGTTTACCCCACACATGTTGTGAGTCTTTGGTTGCCTAGGTGCGCGTGCACACAGAGCGTCTGAACAAATGTCTGCCAAAAATGCTAAACAGGTCTTGTTATTGTCCATTTGGAGGAAGAGGACTGTGGTTACCATTAGTCTTGGGTAATTTTGGTGAATCGCTCTCTGCAGAAGTGGAGGTTAAAATTGTAGAGTGAGTAATGTCATGATAGAGCAGACAGGAAGATGAGTGTGCTGCTTGCTGGACCCTTCGATAGGAAAAAAACGTTCTCCTCTGTTGATATGCTCAATTACCGGAGCAGTAATGTGATGGCACAAGTAAACAGCACACGCTTTATTAGCTGATGCTGATTCAATTTTTGCAGGCATCTTAGAGAGATAAGCCTCACAAATAGATTCAGAGACTGAATTTCATGATTACAGTTACAGGTATGGGTCGCATATTTCCCAAAATAGACTTCTGTTTAGTAATAAGAAAAAGAAATATTAGCCACAAACCTGCATATAAAAGAATATATTACTAAAAATCTTCCATCAGTAGCAGTGAAATAAACTGAGCCAATTTTCCCTCCTTCTTCTTTCCTTTCAGAGGACGACACTGGAGCCGTGATTGTGCAGACTGCCCCTGGTAAAGTGGTGACACATCGGGGTGGCTCCATCACTTTGCCCTGCAGATTCCATCATGAGCCGGAGAACGTCGATCCTGCTCGCATCAGGATTAAATGGACCAAAGTGACGGACACGCTGCAGTTCGAGGACGTCTTTGTAGCACTGGGAAAGTAAATTCTGCATCGTTATTCTCAGTTGATTCATCTTGCACTTTTGTTTTAACTAATTATGATTTCATGATTTTTTTTCCCCAAATTTGCTTTAGTTTCGCTAATTTTATTTTAGATAAGATGCACTGACATAATAAACTCTGTCACACACAGTTTATCTTCCAAGTATTTTCTCAGGTTGGAGCATTTTTCAATCATTTTGCTAACAGCAGCTGTTTTGAGGACAATGAGTGTCTTTCAAATCTCTCCAGGCAGCAGCGTGTGTTTGGATCGTATCGTGGCCGTGTGTTTCTGGAGCAAGCAGGACCAGGCGACGCATCGGTGATCATCCAAAATGTCACGCTGGAGGACTATGGACGCTACGAGTGTGAGGTCACTAACGACATGGAAGACGATACAGGATTTGTCAACCTTGACTTAGAAGGTCAGGCTCTGGGCCATTTGTAGGAAATGTTGTTGAAATGTTCAGTTTATTTGAGTTCACCACATTGCACACTGTTATACTGTGAGACTTAAATGCCATCTTATATGTATGTACTCTTTTTAAAGTCATTTTAAATTATTTTTTAGTTTTCTTTGTTGAATTTGAAGATGAAGATTTTTGTTCTGTTATATAATGATATTATTATTAAATACTGTTATTTAAAGGTATACTTATCTTATTGTATTTATGATTTCAAATTTGTTTTTGTCTTATTAAGTTAACTGTCATACTGCATTTTAATTGATTGATCTATACATTTTACTTATTACTTGTTACTCTTCTTTACAGCATTGCTTCAGCTCATTGTTTATGCAGAGTCATCTCAAGGTGCTGCCCCAGCATTTTGGACTTGAATTTAATACTAGAGACTTTCTCCTGGAGACCCTTCCAAACAACCCATTTAGCATACTAACAGAGGCCTGTAGAGTCTGAGATGTAGCTCCTTGTTTCTTCTTCTTTCTATGAACATTCTAGGGTCTGACCTTGTGGTAAATCTTCTAGGATTTCCAATCCTGGGAAGATCAGCAACTGTCTTGAATGTTTTCCAGTTGTGAATAATCTTTCTCACTGTACAATCATGGACTTTAAATTGCTTAGAAATGTCGTTATTATCCTTTCAAGACTGATGGACAGCAACAATCGCTTCTGTTCCCAGTGTGTTAACACACATCTGAATGCACCAGTACAGCAAACTGCCAACACTATTTTTATAGAGTTCCTCACGCTTTCTCACGATCCGTTAATCAAGTGCACCTGGCTGCAACTTTGGCTTTTAATTCCCATGGAAGCATAAAGGGTGCACCTTGTGTTTTCCAAGACAGCACATATCTCTTCACTTTCTCTCTTCATTATTCATTTTTTTTTTACCTGACTCTATATGTCTGTGGTGTTTAATTTAATTTTAATTGCTGCGACAAAGGAATTTGTTAACTTTGGAATAACTAAATACCTAAAATAAATCCTATAATTTTAATGTCTGTATGAAATTCAGAAAAACTAAAGACATTTACAGCTTCCTACTTTGATTCTGTCGCTTGTAGGAGTGGTCTTTCCCTACTATCCCCGTGAGGGGCGCTACAAGCTCAACTACTACCAGGCTGAGGATGCTTGCAAAAAGCAGGATGCCATTCTAGCTTCTCATTCTCAACTGCACAAGGTGAATACACATACTTTAATTGAATTAAACATGGACTCTATCTCATACTGAGAAGGTATTGCTAGTTAGGATGCATAGAGATAACACCATCCATAGTACATTAGTCTACAGGTACTTTTTTAGTTATTACAATATGCTTACTTACTGGTGTCATTAACTTTTTAGAGCAGTAGTAAGTCTGGAATTAAGAATATGGAGATCCGGAATTTTACTGCAGGTCAGTCCTCCAACTCTTAGAGGCTTTATGGAGTAAAGTCAAGTGCAATGGAGTTATGTCACAAGAGATAAACTGAATTTGTTCCCCTCTTTATAATTTCTTTAATCCTTTAGTTTGACCCACTGACCTACATTATCTTCTTCTGCAGGCATGGCTGGAGGGACTAGACTGGTGTAATGCTGGATGGCTGGAGGACGGCTCAGTTCAGTACCCTATCTCTCATCCCAGGGACGAGTGCGGACGTAAGGACACCCCAGCTGGTGTTCGAAACTATGGCTATAGGCACAAAGAAGATGAGCGTTATGATGCTTTCTGCTTCACTTCCAAGCTCAACGGTGAGAGATGGAGATACATGACATACATGACAATACAACAAATAAGAAGTGCTATCAAGTATCTGTGACATGATATTAAGAAAGAACAAAAGCTTTCAAGTGCTACTTTGTCATGCTGCTACTTTTAAAAATAGGATGTTTCATGAGTGGTAGACCAGGGGGAAATGAGATCTCTGATCTCTCCCTGTGATCTTTGAGGCCTTAGGCCATTGGTTTTAAATCAGGGTATGTTGATTCAGCCCTGCTAGGGCCACAGTGTCCTCTGGGTAGAAAGCCTTGCCTTTCATCTCCCTGTTCTTTGATTTACATCACATTCCCACAGAGAGTCTGCACATGTTACCTTCATGTTCACAAGCCTAAACAAAAAAAAAAAAAGAAAAGTAAAAGAGTTTTACTGGAGGAAAGGTATGTGTAGTCAAAAGTTATTCCAGAAAGACACCTTGGCTCAGAGTAGACAGTATATAAAAAGCCCACGTTGATTATTATAAGAATAAACTGCTATACTCAGATTTGCAACTGGCAAAATATTTCTTGTTGGGGGAATAGGCAGACAGAAAGACTAGAAGTTAAATGTACCTGCCAAGGAATAGTACAACCTTCTAGAGTTTGAGTCTGCATCCGTGTTTATGAAGTTTTAAAAACAGTTAAAAATGATTTTATTGAATCACAAACTGTTTTAAAATAACCAGTGCCTTTCCTTAGTGAGAAAAAGGTGGTTTGACAGAAACCTTAAACAATTGCTCATGGCTTCCCTTGTGTGTTAATTACTGTGGACAGTCTGTTGTGGGCAGGAGGTTTGAGCAGCGGTTGTGACCGATGCTGTGTCTCGGTCCAGCTGAAATGCATTTACTGAAAGTCCACTGGGGAAATATGAGACAATATTCTGCCTCTCTAATAGCCACCAGTCACATAAACAAGCATAAAATCAATAACTGAGCCAACTGCAAAGCTTTGCTCGTTGAGATGATTTTCATAAACCGTTGGCTTTAGAAACCAGCAGACGTTTATTCTTGGTTAGATTGTTTATTCTGTGCTGCTTTCTTAGGTGAAGGTACTTGTGATTCAGCTCAGTTCAAACTAGTTAGCTTATCAGGATACCGATTTCTTTAATATACTGCCAGGCGAAAAGTCTCCTCAGAGGTATGATGAAAGCAAAAATTGAAGCATTTTAAGAGTAATTTTAGAGTTCTGCCTGCTGATACAGTATTGCCTTTCGATTTTTTGAGCAGCAGCCCAGACGGTTGTTGGAATGACTTGATATTCTGAACACAATCAGGCAGAGAGGCCAGGAAAACTGTGAATATCTACCCTCAGGGCTTAGCTTGTCTCTGGGGCTTCCTTCTCTCATTCGCTTCTCTTCTGCCCCCCTGAACAATGCACTGACTCTGTTTTCCTTCACCTTTTAACATGTTCTTACAACAAACAACTTTCCTTCGCCTCTCTCTTTTTTTCCGCCTTAGGCAAAGTGTATTTCCTCAAGCGCTTCAAGAAGGTGAACTATGCGGAGGCGATTAAGGCGTGCATTCGAGACGGTTCAGTGGCGGCCAAAGTGGGTCAGCTTTATGCAGCGTGGAAGTTTCAACTCCTGGACCGCTGTGAAGCAGGCTGGCTTGAGGATGGCAGCATTCGGTACCCCATAGTCAACCCCCGTTCTCGCTGTGGAGGATCCCAGCCAGGAGTCCGAAACCTTGGCTTCCCTGATAAAAAATTCCGCCTCTACGGAGTCTACTGTTTTCGTGAAAACAAGGATGAAGCAGTGGGTGGAACTGGGAAGACAAAAAGCACTATAGAGAGTTTGACAAGGAGGAAGAGCAGCAACAGCATCCCCGTGAACGCCACAAAGGTGATTTAAAGTAGGAAGACTGAGAGCAGGAGGGGGATGCAATTTCGGATTTGACTGTCGCCTAGCAGCCAGATTTCATTCATCACATTTTAAAAAAAGCAAAAAACACTCAGAGACAAGATGCACTCATTTGCAGAATTGCCAGAGAGAATAAAAAGGCTGTGTAAAATTAAGGATGACATCTTTATAAGGGTGGTTTTCCTTTCGTTTTGAGTCATTCAGCTATCACGAGTGACTGTTAGCACATCTGTACCCGGAAAACTGCAAGAATTAATAGAGGCTTGATCATCACTCAGATCAGAGAGTCTAACATAAATGATCTTGTTTACATGTGTGAGTGAATCATGCTTTGGACCCCGCTGTGATCCTGATGCCAGGGTGAAAATATTCATTACTGAGAGAGAAATGGGATGAGCTGCATGGCAGGCAGAAAAAAAATATCCAAGATTCACAGTTTTTATTGTACCTGCCTATATCTGATTGGTTGCTTGGTGAGCAACCCTCTGCACAATGTCATTAAGACCTCACAATCGCATCCTCAGAGCTGAAGAACAAGTAGTAAATGCTGAACTAGAATAATTGCACTTTAAACACATAGTCCTTTATTAAGGCAGCACCTTAACGAAAACCTAAGCAAGCATGTATTGTTTGGCTGCGAGTAGATCACAGGGCTGAATTAACATGAACACAAGCTACAGTAATTGCTGTTGACTGCACAGAGCCACCGATTGCACTGTCATTGCTACATGCAGTGATCTTTATAACTGAGGATGTTTGCAACTACTGAATGAATGGATATTCAAGAAGAAAATAAAAGTTTTGGTTTGAACTTGTGTCGGTGCACTTCTTTCCCTCAATGATGAAATCCTTCTGAATTTGGGTGAAAACTAAAATGAAATACTTTCAGACAGAAGCAATGCAGTAAACACTGTACATCTAGACTGCTTAGTTGAGTAGTGTGTGATACTCAGCAGGGCAGTAGTGTCTTAAAATTTCACAGGTTGTGCATTCACCAGAAAGGAAGATGTCAAAATTTGAACATGGTTGTCGAACTCGCTGCTGTATTTTGCTTTTATATTTACAGCTTCTTGCCGTTTTAGCCACACATTAAAAACTTGTACTAAAGTGAGGGTGATAGTTACCACGCATGAATACCAGACAATAGCAAAACAGACAACAATGCTGATCCCTGAAAAAAGTCTGTTGCTGTTAACTAGCTACAGTACCTAGAATTGGCACTAAAATCTACATTACATGCAGTCATACCTGCCAGTGTACCACACTCTTTACAACTCAAAATAACAGACCCAGGGATAAGTATGGAACAAAGTCATTTAAAACAAAACAAACCTGATAGTGGTGTTGGAAGAAAAAGCAGAGGAGCAAAGTTCATACCATTAAATTTCCACCCAACTTCTTAGTTTTCAGTCTCACGTGAGACTTAAGATTTTTACTTTTGTGTTCATAATCAATTTTGTGGGTGTCACACTAATGTTTTTTGTGCTTTTGTCTTCCTCGCACGTTTGATTGTTTGCCAGTGACAGAAGCTGCTGAGCAGCGAACACAGCTCTGAGCGGAAACATGTTGGCACTGCACCAACACAGCAGAACAAACCATGTCATCGTCATAGCAACAGGCAGCTTGTAATTAAGTCAAGTTCATGGCAAGTCCAGCACCATGAAATAAATGCTGTCCGTGACAAACTGGAGGTGTAAAAAAATAATCACCTCTGTTTGCTACATGTTGACGTCTTTGTGCCGTTTTTTTTCTTTGGAGATGACGTCAATCATCAAAGGTGAAGATTCTAATGATTTGCTGAGCACTTTACCCAGTCCCATTAGTTTGTTCTACTTTGTGACATTAGGCAGAGCCACTAAATTAATGAGCAAAGTCCTACTTGATTAACTTTGGCATTTATAATTTATGAAGGATTGCGTATTCTGCACATCAGTAATGAAGTAATTCAGCTGTTTTTTTTATTGTGCTCGGGATTGTGACGGTAAGCCATTTGATATTTACAGTGGATGGCATTTAAACAGCATCTCGATTATGTAAGAGTGAGGTCACTGTAAATAAGAGGCGATATTTTAGACTCTGACTGCCAACTCTGAAATGAAATGTGCACAGTATGCTTTTGTGAACATAATAGCAGTAACTGTAGCCACCAATCAAACCAATTTTGTGACACCAGCACAAACTACAGACACAACAGGCCAGGCAGGCGAAAGTTTGACGAGACAAAATGGCAAAGCTTTTTTAGAATCCCTTTATTTAAAATGAAAGACTGAACAGAAGTGAGCTTTGAAAGCAAACCAGAAAAAAAACCCTACTCAAATTTTTGAACCGGTTTGCTCAGAGTATGACCGTCGTACTGCTTTCATTTCATAAGGTCCTTTCACCGCCTTTTCTTTTGAGCATGAAATGAAATTAGGTGACCCTGTAACAACAGAACTGCCACACAGTGAATACAGAGGAACGATCTGGTGCTGGCTCTCATTTATCAGCCTGTGACAGAAGTCAGGCCCTCCGAACAGCTCTGAGATGGAAGCAGAAGGGTGGGGTCAAGTGACAGAAAAGAAACACGAGAAACAAAATGAAACAATATAGCTGACGTACACTGATATTACTGACACATGCACCTCACGGGTGTTTACTTGTAAGCCTGATTACACTTTTCCCTGCACAGATGTATTCTTCCACCTCAGACGTTTTAGACCTTTACCATTTCTTTAGTCCATTACATCAGATGTTCCCTTTCACTAGTGATACAGGGGCAACAAAGCACCATAAACAATAACTCGTTTACATTTGAGTGGGCAGGCACGCTAAATACCTCAGCCCTGAAGTGCAGCCACAGTTAATATTCTTAATTACATCTCTGTTTGCTCTGTGTAAATATACACTTGCTAACTACTTCATTCTCTCCACCTGTTCAGGTGCTCGTTTACATACACATCTAATCAACTACTCACATGGCAGGAGTGTAATGCATTTAAGCATGTAGATATGAAGCATAAAGTTGATTCAAGTGACTTTAAATGTATAATGCATGGTGGTGTGGTTGTTAGCACTGTTGCCTCGCAGCAAGAAGGTGCTGACTTTGACTTCACAATCTGGCCGGGGCCTTTCTGTGTGTGTGTTTGAATGTCCTCCTCGTGTTTGTGTGAGATCTCTCTGGCTTCTTTCCACAGTTCAAAGACGTGCAATTAGCGTGGTTAGGTTAACTGCTGATTCTAAATTCCCCATAGGTGGTGTGAATATGAGTATAAACAGTCTCTTCGTGTTAGCCTTGCGACAGACTAGCAATCTGTCCGGGGTGTACCCTGCCTCTCACCCTCTGATTATGATAGCTCCAGCCCCCCCTCCCTCCGCGCAACTCGATTAACCAGAAGAGCATCGCTTTACGAAAAACACGTCAAACTGTGACACAGATGGGTTACAACAGTCATGCCGAGTGTAATTCCTGTCATCTAAGAATTAAGGCTACACTTTACTTGGGCTCACCGAAATTGGACCCCAAAGATTGGAAAATTGATGAGTCTTGATTATTGTTGCAACATTGATATTGGAGTGTCAGAATTTGGCATAAACAGCATGAAAGCATGGCTCCAGCTGGCCTTGTATCAACAACTCAAGCTGCTGTTGGTTGTGTAACAGTATGTGTGATATTTTCTTGGCACACTTTGGACCCCTTAGTATTAATTAAGCATCAGTTAAACAGCAGAGCCTACCTGAGTATTTCTTATGACCATGTCCATCCATTTATGCCCAGAGTGTAGCCTTCTTCTGATGGCTGCTTCCGACAGGATAATATGCCATTCCACAAAACTCAGATCATCTCAAACTGTTTTTATGAACTGTACTCAAATGGCCTCCACAGTCACCAGATCTCCATCCATTAGAGCACCTTTGTGATGTGGTGGAGATTTGCAATGATGGGCGTGCAGCTGACAAATCTGCAGCAACTGTGCAATGCTATAGTGACAACATGGAGCAAAATCCCTGAGGAAAGAGGGTTTCCAATATGTTAAATGTGTCCGGTGAGTGCATAAAATGTAAAAATGGTAATAAAAAAAGATGACCTGTATCTTTTTCTAATCGCATTTCTTACACATCATGAGGTAAATGAATGATATGACAGATTTTATAAGGATTTCATAAGCACATTTTAGATACTTACAATGATATTTCATACAGGCTACAGTATATAAACAATAATAATAAAAATGATAAGACTTTATTACCAAGTCTGGATTTTATTAAAAGACATATAGGGTAATAAGAAAAGCTTGTCACATTGAGATTAATTGCTCATCTTGTCCACTGATATCTCTTTTTCCAGCTGCAGAGATGATCCATTGTAACTCCTTCCTTTATTAAAGCTTTCTGTGACTGAAGTTAAATTCATTATTCATAAACCTAAAGACCGGCAGTGCAGCAGTTCTTAAACTGAAGACACAACTGACACAAATTGAATTATTTTAAACATTACAATAAATTAACACTGATGATCCAATATAGCTCATAATCTTTATTTATAGAGCTTTTTAAAATATAAATGTTCATGCTGGGCAACAGCTTGATAAGAAGCAGAATTTATCACAGCAGCATGATGTTCATAGCTCACCTGTGGGTTACATATCAGCAGGTTGTGGCATGAAATAGAAATCCAATTACATTAATCGTTTGTTTTCCAGAATCATCTGCTGCTGTGTCACTTTCAACTGTAGGAAGGTATTATCACCTTTCCTCTCATAAAGAAGGGCAATAAAAGAAGCACTGAAGCTTTTTTTTGTTACTTTCATACAGTGAGAATTTCACTGTCTCGCATTATCACTGCTGCACAGATATTGAGTCACTTGATTCTGAATGAAGCGACCTGGTAGTAAAATTGACTATTTGACAGAAATGTCAGTGAGTCACAAACACTAAATGTTACAGGGTAAATACCATATTGTACTGAGGGATTGATTTCACCTGCGCTGAGGACGTTGGTGACCCTACCTTTTTTCACACTTGACTTTCCACATGATTGAAAGGTGTATTAATGGTGGCTGCAGTGTTCTTATTGGAGGTCCTGGGTTTGTGCATGTTGGTGCTGTATTGACTCAGAGTTTTATGGTTTGAGAAAATAACTAACACCTAACTTATAATAAAATCAGTTGGTTCATACTTCAGCACACTTTAATCACTAGTGGCCACTTTGGTATGGGGTTCATTACAACTGAAGAAGGACCTTAACAAAGACTTGTACAGCTCCTGAAGTTTTTGAGGTGAACAAACTGGAAATGTAGGACTTTTTCTGGGTTTTGTGTGTTATCTATTTTATTATGGCAGCATCAATCTGAACCAAAGCCAAGTGTTTCAATTTAAGTCTTCATCTGTGAGATCAGACCTGCTGGCTTACAAGCTGCTTTATAACAGACCCATTACACTCCATAGGTCAGTTACATCGCAGTTGATCAGGCTCATCTATATCTATGTCACTTACCTGTATATAAACTACCTGTCCCCACTATTTTCCTCTCAAATTAGCACCATCTTGTGGTGTGCTTCATTGGCACACTGTGATGGACTCATCTAAAGAATTTTTGGTATCCATCCCGTTTAAACATGAAAGTATAAGTTCATCAGTACAAACTCAGGTCATAACAAAATATTGGACACTACCTTTACAGGGTGTTTCAAAAAGAATCACAAAGTGCTTTAAAGGGGTAATAACTGGAACACACAATGTGCTGTTAGAAAGAGATTTGTGTATTTCATATGGTGTAATAACAGTAAAAAACAGTTGGAATGTAAAATATGGGATGAGCATGACTATCATAC